ACACGATTTTGTCGCTCCAGAAGACGGCAGACTTGTACTGTTGGCCACAGATGTACTCATCCCTCATGTGTCGCAACCGGTCCACAGACAGACCCGACAGACACGCAGTCATCGATCCGTTCATCGCATGGCTTATGTCTCCACTCATGAGGCCTTTCGATGTAATCCTTAATCCAATCCTTAATCCAATCCTTAATCCAATCCTTAATCCAATCCTCACTTCAAGTCAATTGACGTTTGAAAGCAAAACACTATTTATTTTGAAAATAAAGTCATGTATTAAGGGATCGATTGGTAATTGAGTTGTGTTTGTATGACACACAAGAATAATGTGAATGTTATTCTACATTACCTGTACTGCACTGTACTGTACATGTACTAGCTCACTTGCAAATTGCAATCTTTTGTGATGTAATTCCCATTCCCTTACTATACGGCTATTTCATTCAATTTTCAAACACAATTCCTATGAATATTTCGTTCATTATTGCCATTAGTATTGAAATTATCAGTTATTTATGCGATAATTAAATAACTATTTCATTCAATTCCTATTATACTGTAGTTTAGTATCAATTTGATTGATACACTATTTCCTGCCATTGGGTGCCTTCAAAGTAAAGTACAAGAAATGAGTGGTGATGTGGGAACCACTGGTCCACCATTGGTGACAGGTGTGGAACCACCTGAACCATCAGGTGCCACAAGTGGTATACTAATTGAACCATTATTAGCGATGGCAGAAGACGTTAAAGACACGGTTCCAGGCAGTGGTGCAACCGCTGCCAAAACCGTAGCCGAGGTCGCAAATGAAGACTTTATGATGGGAGTGAAGGCTTGTGTGCAACCCGTGATTGGAGACGAGTTTTATCCGATGAAACGCAATCCTCGCGGATATTGTCTTATATTCAATAACTATGACTTTCCCAACCATTCCGATGAGTATCCGCACAGACATGGATCTGTTGATGAGGCCAAACGCCTGAAAGATATCTTCGAACAGTTGTACTTCAAAGTGCAAGTTATGGACAACTCTGTGAAGGCCGACACACTCAAGACTATTGAGGAATATTCCCATAAAGAAGAACTCATAGGACACGACTGTTTTGTTCTCATTGTCCTCTCGCACGGAAAGAGCGGAGGATTTATTAGTAATTATCTTAAATTATATTTAGGATTTTGAAACTTAATTTACTGTAATTAATACTTAATGTGTCTTGTATTTTAGCATCCGATGGACAGTATATCCCATTCAAAGAAGTGGTGGAACAGTTGAACAATAAGAACTGTCAAAATCTCATTAATAAACCAAAACTGCTGTTTTTTAGTTGCTGTCGCGGTAGTATGTATTGATTTGAATACAATTGATTGAATTTTATTGATTATTGAATTGTGTATTGAATTAAAGTTAACAAAGACTATGGAGTGGATCATACAGTGGAGGCATTGGGAGCGGCGCTAGACTTAGACCATTGTAAGAGCGATGCGGGAAAGATCTCAATACCGGAGGAAAAGCCAAAGATTATGGAGAGATTTCCGATTGTCAGTGATATCATGATCTGCTACTCAACCATTGATCAGTACGTGTCGTGGAGATGTGAGAGTAAGGGCACATGGCTGGGGATGGCTATTGTCAAAGTACTCGCTAAATCATCGCACGAACTCGAATTGCCACAACTTCTCACTGAAGTATTTATTTTATTGACATTTTAAGACATTTTAATTTATACTAATTTGTCATTATATTTGTGTAGATTACAAACCACGTCAACCAGAGAAAGGGAACAGAATATGGGGCCAAACAAGTGGTCGAAGTTATAATGAGAGGCTTTAAGAAGCGATTCCACTTTAATCCGGGTTATTCTGTGGGTTCGTCCACATCTACTAATTGATTATGAGCTCAATTTTGGACATCCATTCCTTCCATTCGTGCCTTAATTACAAATAATGAAATGTTTGCACAATTTATGTTGATTTAAATCTCAATTTATTACAATTACTGTCTGCCTCTCTATTCATAATTAAAACTATAAACTATTCATACTATGAGATGAGCTTATATTTTGTCTAATTTTATCTATAATTTTGTTCATTTTTTAGTTAACTTTATTTCTATCAAGATACTGTATGTGTTTGCAATGAAATCAAAACCAATTTCTGTTTATTAATTATTTGTTAAAAGTATGTTATTTTTAAATTTCTATGAAGTACTTTTAATGAATTGATTTTAATAAGCACTGAACTTCATAAATAATATATTAAAGGGCAATTAAATTTAACGCATTTATTACTTACCAATTAACATATTTTCAAATAAAATACTTTTACAAACAATTGTTTTGTAATTATAATCTCAATATTTGTCAAATAAAATAGAAAAATATAATAAATGTAACTTCATTTCCACAATAAATACCAAGATGATAAACACTGGTCATATGATATCATTTAATACACTATCTTTAATGAATCGTTATAAACTGAAATATACTGTGACTGATAACGAAGCACTATTTCTTATATGGATTAAAAAGATAAGCATCGAAACTCCAAAATACAGTCCTGAGCTAAAGTATAAACCCTAAAATTATTAACTTAATTATTTTTAAAATAAGCTTACAAATATTGCAATTTGAGCGCAATTAAAATAAGAAACGATATTTGATTTAAAATTAATTTATTAATTGCGTTCAAATTGCAATATTTGTAAGCTTATTTAAAAAATAATAGAGTACATAATTTTAGGGTTTATACTTTAGCTCAGGACTTATTTTGGAGTTTCGATGCTTATCTTTTTAATCCATATAAGAAATAGTGCTTCGTTATCAATCCCTGCCTTTGCTCGCTGTATAACCATTCATTGTAGATACTGTAGTATACTGTACCTGGTCAGTTATTTAATTATTGTAAAAACTTTGCAAACTTTTATTCGTGTGAACAGTGGCTCCACTTACGGGACACTCAGTGAAACATAAGTTGTAAGCAAAGTGTTGACTCATTCACACATTCATTGACTGATCCACTCATTGATCACATGATGGCAGACAAGAAGGACACCAACGACTCCAAGACTGCCGTCGA